AGAAATTTTATTATCACTCTCATCTATATGGTCAATAGTACGAAATTTTCCAGTTACCAAAAGCACATTTTCTTTTTTAAACAGAGGAAGGCTTAATTCTTGAGATGCATTTTGAAGATAGAATCCTTTCAAAAAAATTTTTAAAAACGAATCTAAACTTTGAGAACAAATGATTCCCAAAGCATCTGCTATAAAAAGGTTATGAGCAGAATTCTTGTAGTATTCAGTGATATAGCACAATACAGTAATGATAGCAGGCATATTTATTGGTTTTTTTTTATTTTTTTTTTAATAAAAAAAGAAAAATATAGCCTTATTTATTATTTTTTTATTATTATTTTTTTTATTAACGATATATGGTAAAGAAATAACAGGCTAGATAAAGACAATCTTGGGTAATTAAGGCAATTAAATCAGGTCTCAGCCTTTCGAAAATCAGATCAACGCGTGAAATACTTACCCGAAAAGTGGCTCTACGATTGTTGTTTTTTGTTTTTTTACGAAACACTAATAATAGATTTTCAGCATTTATTTTTTTTTTTTTTATAATAAATAAAAGGAAAAAATTAAATTTAAAAATGCATTTAATTGAATAGAAATTTTAATCAATAAAAGACTATAACGCGAAAACAATTATTTTTTAAAAAAAAAAGAAAAAAAAAAATGAATGAGGCTTTGATTGATAGGCAATTAAGCATCAATATATTTATTCTATAAGGTCAACCTGATAGAAGATCAATCAGCTTATAATTTAACAATAAGAAATAAATAAATAACAAACCACATAAATTTTGCACTGGATAGATGGCAGAGCATACGATGGCAAACAATAAATTTAAAAAAACCTGAAAATCAACAAATTAATTCGTTGCATTTCTTTTGAAATGTTCTTTGACAATTAGCAATTATCAAACCATCACACCGGCAAAAATTCAGAAGGAAAAAAAACACAAAAATATCAAAAAACTCGAAAAGTAAAAGACAAACATAAACCAAGGCAATCACATACGTACAAAATGAACAAATATTATGAAGATTTAAACTGTTTCAAATGAATCAATAATTTTTTTTTTTTTTTTTTTTTTTTTTTCTCTTA